AAAAAAAATATATATATATATATATACACACACACACACACACACACACAAAATTGTAACTGAATATATATATATATATATATATACTCCCTCATTTGAAGAATGAATTATTCAATCCAAATATCTCTCTATCTAATAATTATTTAAATTCATAGTTAGGTGAGAGGACTTATTAAATTGTATTTACATTTAATTTTTTATTGTAATTGTTTCATCAATAAAATTGTTTGATCCAATTTTTGCTGTCAACATAAACCTATATATTATTTCCATCCACATTTTTTATTGCACCAAAATTTTAAATATATTTTTATTAATTAAATAAGACATAAATAAAACAGTATAAATAACCATTTAAATTTCTCTCTTCAATTCGTACGTATATCTCTCACCAGTTATCTTCTTTCTATTCTCACTTGTTTTTGTCGAATAATCTTCCTTTCTCTCGTTTTTAATAATATTTATTAATCTTTTATTTTAGGTAATGGCGTTGATCAAGGAGAATGGATGCCAAAAATAATCCCAAGATTCCCAAACAAACACCCAAGCACGCCACCCTACCAAACGGCCCCAGGGAAAGCTATCAACCCAACACTGTACAACCAATCAGAAATTAAAATCGCCACCCAAAAACTACCCAATTTTATGGCTTTGACAACGGATTGGGGATCTCTGAGTAGGCAACAGGCAACGATTGGCTCCGTGTCCAAGCTTGAGAATAGCAGTGGAGTGCTATCTGCAGCGAATATTGTTAAGAAAAATTCAAATTTAAAATATTTATCTCTATCAAAATTCAGTCATCACGTACAGGCCGATTGTCCACACTTAAATAAAAAAAATTACTTAGAGTGTTCACGTTGTATAAATTACTGGCCTAAAAGTAAGATGGAATTTTATCTCTAGTACACAATAAAATGATAACTTTGAATACATCGGGAGACTTGAGTGCTTATTATTTTAATTTATAACCATTTATTGATCAACAACACTTTTGCCTACTCGATATCTAGATTATATAAACAGTAAAGAAAAGAAAATTAAACAATTTACTTACTCAAATGACAAAACCTTGAAATAAATGCTTGTTAACTATTAAGGAATTTCAAGTAAAAATTTACATCATTTGAAAGAGACATCTTCTCGAAGGACTATGGATTCCATAGTAGGAGAGAACGAAATTTATTGGAAGACTTTGAGCCTTACCAAAAATCAAGAATTTTTAAAAGTAAGAAAACTTCAGAAGGATGAACTAAGAGACGGTGTTAAACATTATAATACGAAAATTTTAATTTACTTTCTTAATTTAATAATCATAATATTTATAAGTAAAAAAAATTATAAAAATTATCAATGAATATTAAAAACGTGTAAGTTATTCGGACACTAAAATTAATATTACTTCTAAATATTCATATTATTAAAATCTGTCCATTCCTAATCGGAAGGTTGCTCGTGATGTGTTTTATATTTTTAAAGATAGTTTAATATTCTCTCTCTACATTTTTATTTTTTTATTTATTTATTTTTTTTTGGGTTCAGGGTTTTGTAGTTTCCCAGGTTTACTCTCTTTGATATAGCATGGTATCGATTCCAAGTTTGAGATTTTTTATTTTGTACTTTTCATTTGATCTTGTTTGCTTCTATTTCTTTCTTCATTATTTAACTTTTATGCCTTTGTTCCGTTGATTGGTAGCATGTTTTCTACTTTTTTGCACATCGTCAAAATTTTGTTACGGACAATGTTGTAGCAATTTGCTGTAACTTTTATATTATGAGTTTGTTGAACTCTCCAAATGGAAGAGAAATGAATATTTGGAAGGCAAGATCGACCATTTGGATAGACAAGTGTAGATAATGGCAGAAAGGCATGAGAATCAGGAATTGTTGATCACTAGATGCTTGAAAATGAGTACGGTATTCTCAGTGAAGGAGAGCCGTCTTCATGGGGCCTCAGCTATCCAAGTAGCAATGTCCAAAGCGTGATGGACCAGGTTAAATCCGCCATTTTTTATATTTTTTTTCAGAAATTAAAAAAAAAATTCAATTTGAGGAAATGTAAAGAAAAAAGAATTGCATGTAGCATTCTGATAATTAATATATATTTTTAAAATGATAGGATAAACAAAGAAAAGCCGCTTTTATCATATTTAAAAGGGTTATTTTGCAGTAGGGATTTGATGGTATTTCTCTTTATTTCATATGTAGGGATTTGAAGGTTAATCTACTTTAAACTTCTAACGCCAAGAATAATATGAACCGTAACATAATTTCTTTAGAAATTTCCCATCGACTTACCCGGTTCAGTCCATATTTTCAATTGTTAAAAAACTAATAAATTTCAAAAGTATCTTCAAAAATGAGACACCTTACTACAATAAAGCAACCAAATGAGGCCCATCAAGAAAGTTTTAAAATCTATTGACTGTAAATTTAATCGAAAGTCAACATCGAATGACAAAATAATAAGTCTGAAAAAGATTGCTACCAATCTTTCTCTTGCCAGTTTGTGTAAATTTCCCTTTAAATATGAAGAAACTATGCGGCACTTTCCTAAGTAGCCTTTCCCAAAGGCGTCAGCAAACTCAAAGAAATCACATTTCTCTTCTCTTGCCGCGTTAAATTTTAATAATGCATAGACGAAGACCTAAAATCAATGGTAAATGTGTCATTTAACTATGAATTTATAATAATTTCTTGGCAGTTAGAAATTAGAAAACGAGGAAAAAGAAAGTTCCTTGTATTTGTTGTTTCATCTTTTCTAGAAGGTTTGACTTGTTAAAAGGACACTTTAATTTATGTAAATGTAGTCCTCGTTTGAACCCCATTAATTTGAAATAATGTATTATAAAATAGTAATTGATAGAGAATGTGTAATTAAAAAAGAAGGGAAATTTTTTTATTTGCATGTGATATTATTTTAATGAAGAATGTATGATAGAAAATAAATACTGTAGAAAAAATAATAGGAAAGAATATAAAAGAATGGCTCAAACAAGGTCGTAGCTTTGTATGCGAGTAAGATTCCTAGAAGGCTTGAGATATAGACAAGATTATCCATAAAAAAAAATAAAAATAAAAATAAAAAAATAAAAAAAATAAAAAATTCTTAAACAGTACTGTCATTGGACTCTTGTAATCACCCTTAAACCACCCGGCTGCCTATATTTCTGATATTCTATCTTATTCCACTTTTTGATTTAGGTCGTCTACTAGAATCATCTTGACATACCGACAACCATGCCAAGCAGTAGTAGTATTCAGGCATCCGACAGAGACTCCGGCAAGGCAGTAAATTCAACTACAACGGTCGAAATTAAGCCATCACGTTTCTCCTCGTTTGATCCTGCACACATCACTAAGCTTGTAAGAAAAAAAGATAAAAAATGGCTTCGAGAGCGTGGAGGTATAGAAGGCGTGCTGTTAGCCCTGGAAACAGATATGGAGAATGGCGTCAGAGGTGATCGAACTGACATTGACAGCAGAAGAAAAGCCTTCGGCTCTAATCTTTTTCCACAGTATAATCTGCGAAAAACATTTCGCCGTTTCGTGTTGGAAGCAATTAGAGATCCCATAATTGCTGTTTTGTTTATCTGTGCTGTGCTTTCTTTATGTTTTGGCATTCAAAAACATGGCCTACGACAAGGATGGCAAGAAGGATTGACAAAAATACTTGCTATTCTTGTAGTGGTAATTGTTTCCTCCAGCGGAAAATTCTGGCCAATCACTCAATGCCTTGAATTTTCAGCTATCAGCTGCTATATTCCTGAAACTGATGTTGTGAGAACCAGTAAATGGCAGCGAATTCCAATATGTCGAGTTCTTGTCGGAGACATAGTTTTTCTAAAGCCTGGTGATCAAGTTCCTGCCGATGGATTGTTCATAGATGGCTGTTCACTGAATACAGAGATGACGAAGGCAGATGGGCAAATTGATCGAATCGAAGTGGACGCACACGAGAATCCATTCTTGTTCTTTGGCAGTACAGTTGTGGACGGTTATGCCCGAATGCTAGTGACAGCAGTTGGCAAGAACGTAAAGCACCATGGAATTTCTTTGAGGGGGTCTTTAATTGACGAGCTCAAAAGAATCACCTCTATAGTAGGCAAATCTGGTAAGACAGTTGCTCTGCTGATATTTATGGTATTTTTGGTACGTTTCTTGACAGGCAAACTACATGATGATAACGGAAAAGGAGTGTCTTTCGGTGGAGAAACAACAATTGGCGATGTTCTTGCTGTCGTTGGGATTCTGGCTACTCCAACAATGATTGCTTTGACATATACTCCAGAAGATTTGGTTTCGGCTGTCAGAACGTGTCTTGCTTATTCAATGAAGAGACTAATGAAGATTCAAATTCTTGTGAGAGAACCTTTAATCTGCCATAAAGTTGCATCTGTCACCACTGTTTGCATGAATAAAACTGGAACCTTAACTATGGATTCCATGGAGGTACTACTTTTCCTCTCCCAGTGCACTTATCTGTTCTTCATGGTCAATTAACAACTTCTGCAAAGTAGTTTGTCAATAAATAATACCGTCCTATATGCATAACAGGAGATTAGAAATGAAAATTACTAAAGAAGATTAGGTAAAATGTAAATACGACAGGGAAAGTGTTAATGGCAGGTTCAGTATACAGATTTCAAAGTCAAAGTTTCAGTAGTACATACGTCCAACAGGCTCCTTATGTGATTGATGTCAATGGCAATAAAAGATTCATTTGTCTTGTCTGTAGGTGACCAAGTTCTGGCAAGGTCTAAACTCCATTGAAGTTCAGCATAATTTGATTGCTCCAAGTGTGCTTGAATTACTGCACCAAGGAATTGGTTTAAACACTACTCAACCCCCTTCAAGGTCTTCATCATCATCTCCTATAAATTCAACTGAGAAGACAATTTTTGAGTGGGCTGTTAAGCAGTTAGGGATGGATGTGGAAAGTCTGAAGAAAAGCTGCACTATTCTTGAAATCAAACCATTCAATTCGAAGAACAGGCAAAGCGGGGTTTTCATCAGTAAAAATGGCGACAATACGATTCATGTACATACAAAGGGAGCTCCAGAAGTGATAATTCCAATGTGTTCTCATTATTATGAGAGTACTGGAAATGTAAAAGTGATGAACAAAGATTCCAAAGCTTTATTTGAGCAAATTCTTTCAGGCATGGCAGAAAATGGCCTCAGATGTATAGCTTTCGCACACAGGAATACATTAATAAGAGATTTCACCATCTTTCAACAGCAGCTGATTCTATTAGGCCTTGTCGGATTGACAAATTCCCATCGAAGTGGAACAAGGGAAACAGTGGAAGATTGCCGTAGAGCTGGAATCAACGTCAAATTGATCACCGGAGATAACAAAGTAACTGCCACAATCATGGCCACTAAGTGTGGAATAATTGAGCCTGATTACCAGCCTGGTGAAGTGATAGATGGTGAGGAATTCCGGAAGTTTAGTTCAGAAGAGCAAATGGCGAAAATTGAAAATATCTGCGTGCTGGCAAGAGCCACTCCTGATGACAAGTTACTTATGGTCCAATCTTTGAAGCAGAAAGGCCATGTGGTTGCATTCATTGGACGAGGCATTGGAGATGCACAAGCCCTTAGAGAAGCAAATGTGGGACTTTGTTTTGGAACCCAAGGAGCAGAAATTGTCCAAGCATGTTCAGCCATTGTCATGTCATGCAAAGATTTTCCTTTCATCATTGATATTTTGACATGGGGTAGGGGAATATATGACAGTGTCCAGATTTATACTCAGTTTTTGCTCATTGCAAGTTTTGTTGCTCTGGTAATTGACTTTGTGATGGCTGTTTCATCTAGCGAACCCCCTTGTTTGAGTGCTGTGGTAGCTGTTTCGACAGGAAAAATTCCATTTCCGGTGTTTCAACTTTTGTGGATGAAACTAATTGCAGGTACTTTAGCAGTTCTTGCACTCAATATAGAGAAGCCGTCTCGAGATGTTATGAGGAGGCCACCAAGAAACTTGAAAGAGCCACTAATCACAGCCCAAATGCGTAAAAAAATTAGGGCTCAAGCTTTATATCAGATAGCCATCTTTCTGGTTATACATTTCAAAGGCAAATCATTATTTAATGTGAATGCTAAGGAAAAGGATTCTTTGGTCCTTAGTACATACATTCTCTGTCAAGCCTTCAACATATTCAATCCCAGGTTTTCGGAGAAGAACATTGTTGAGGAGATGTATAAGAAAAAACTTTTCTTGAGCATCATCGGACTAATTATTTCCATTCAGTTTATAATGGTGGAACTTCTTAATGGGTTTTCAGGGACAGCCAGGCTAGGATTTGGCCAGTGGGGCTTGTGTATAGCCTTTTCTGCTACACCTTCTATGGTCACTTGGTTTGTTAGGTGCATGCCTCCTCTGGGAAACTTTAAGTTGCCAATGTTGAAGCCTAAAATCGATTAGTCAAGCGCTCTATCTTTCATTATTCTCTAGTCAAAATACAGAATCTGTAGATTGCTTCGAAATCCGTTTGCTGTTTTCTGTTTTCACATTTTGCTCTATGGAACTTTATGTGGTCAATGTTGAAGTGTAATATCAATTAGTTAAATTTCACTATCTTTCATTATTCTCTAGTCTTAGGTTTGTCGAGCAGCACAAACGTAAATTGGAAAATGTAATCTCAATAGAAAAACGAAAAGAACAAGAAGATATGTTCGTCCCAATTAAGTGTTAACATATTAGAGTGCATGACTCCAATGCACTATAAATCGTGACTAACTCCAAATTGTAATAAACAAAGCATTAAAGAGAATCCATTATATAGGACGGCAAACGAAGGGGCTGTTAGTTTCTTAGCCAATCTGGGATTATAAACAATCCCTTTACAATTGGAAAATTAAAAATCATATTCTGATACACAAATACAATCACATTCTAATTAAACAATATCAAGTCAAAATCTTAACAATCCCCATCTTTAAGTTTCCAATGTTGTATAGAGTTTCTTTCATATCTCTTCCATATCGAATGACATACTATGCTATAGTCATTCCTCTTCCACCTTGTTGATCACACCATGTGAGAAAACTTTTGGTGTACTGAGATTTACCATATAGAACGTTAAAAAATACAAGTACCACACAACATAAACACATAGGACAAAATAGATTTTCTTTTATCCTATCATTTGCACTGTTGCAATTTACATACCGTTTTAACTTTATCCACTCGTTACTTTGTTTAAAGATTAGCCCTAAAGTTGAAGTTCCATAAGATATCTTAGGAACCACATAGCTACCGAATGTTAAAAGTCCAAGGGCGTTTTCATGTAAATACTAAGTATATTGGTTGCCTTGCAAGCCTTGTACATATCATATTGTACATCATTGTACCTTCATCATTAGAGTATGGACCTTTTTCATGTGGTCTATTTCTTCTCGAGTTGAAGGACATCTTTATTAAGGTAAAATGACCTGCTAAAGTTATTGAAGTCACTTTAGTTTCAGTCATCTAATAGTTAGTTAACACTTTTTTGTTATAAGAATATTGTTTCAATACAAGAACGGTTTATCCCATTCCTTAGTATGTCAATACCAAGTATTTATTTTAGCATTAACTATGTCCATTTTCTCATTTTAGTTATTTGAATTTTTCTTAATTCCATTTATTTCATGCATATTACGACTTATAAATAATGTATCGTCATCATATAGTAACAAGTATTAAAAAAAATGTTTTTCCTGCTTGTTTTGAAATATAGTGCCCGTTTGGCCACCATTTTATCCTCAGTTTTCCAACTTTTTGTCAACAATGGTGGGCCCCCAATCAAAAAATCTGGCAGTTCCCTGAAAAAATTTGAGACAGCAGCTTTTCAGACATTTTGTTGAATTTATAATTTTTGTCTTTTCACTTGTGCCCTCCATTTGAAATTTTATTCCTTAATTGTAGCACTTGTTGTCAACTGGAATTTTATTTTTTAATTGAGAGCGAAACGGTCAAAGAAATTCAACGGCATGACACCGTGTTCTTTCATTTCTGACAGTTTCTTTAATGTTGTCGCCATCATCTGCCACAAAAACTATAGAAAAATGAGATAATCTAGAAAAAATTGGCAAGAATGAGCGTCAAACAGGCGCATAAAGCACACCATAATTACTTCTTTTGAAGCCAATTAGTTGAACAAATGAGCTAATAAACCTTTTATACCATTTCCCAGTAGATTTTTTTAAACCACATCATTTTCTTTAGAAGACAAATAGAATCGGATTCGCTTTCCTTCACAAAACTTTCAAGTTGACACAAAAAGATATTTTCTTCAAGCTCACCATTTAAAATAGCAGTTTTTACATCCAATTGCTCAAGTTGCCGATCAAACTGAGCCACAGGTGCTAGCATTATTCTATATATTAGTATATTTAACTACTGCAAGGAAAATTCATTATAGTAAATCGCTTATTTTTGTATGTAAAATGTACTTGCATGCTTCTATTTGAATTCCAACAAGTGAAACTTACTTAAAATCACAAAAATGAGGTTAAATAACTTACCTTTCTTTTGCTTCCTTCCTATCCTGCTTTGTACTTACTTTCTGGATAGAAATTCGATCAATGGGAAGGAGTTTTATAGCCACAATCTAAAAGCCTAATTTAAGATGTTATACTCCTAAATCAAGTCATTGCCTTTATGTGTTTCTCATCATTTTCTTCACACACGAATTCTAAATTTACTTTTTATATGATATGGGTGCAGTGGAGGTTGTACATGGAAGTTGTGGGTTGTGGGAGGTTGAGTTTCAAATTCAATTTCAAACTCGTCCCTCCCATTTCCATTCAATTCGAGTCGAGTCAATGCACACGGGGGACCCATTTATTCCAACAATTTAATTTAAGAGTACACAACACTATAAACGTGTTAGGGATATATAACAGCTCTACAAGAGAAAATATAATTCTCGGCATACCTCAGACGTATGTCGTAATACCAGTTCAAGTATTTCTTACCCCCTTAATTAATCAATGAAAATAATCAACTTTATCATTTATATTATATTCACAATTGTGATGCAAAACTGAAATATTAAATACAATTGTCTAGTCGGTGAATACAAACTAGGGTGTTAGATAAAATAGGACTTCTCCATATATTTATTCATTTAGGCAATCTCAATCGAGAACATCATCTAGCTGTTTAATAGATTTAATGAATAGTAAAATAGATTTTCATTAGTTTTTGAAATCTCTTCTTGATATCTCATCAAGCGACTAGATCGTATACACAATATGATTGATGTATCTCTTCTCAGCACACCTCAAATTATCTGAGACGATTGTTTGTGTAAGTAAATCAACTCAAACAGGTTGACATACTTTGTGTGTGTATATTAAATGGTAATCTAATAATTATAAGAAAAGTTACTCTTAACATACGAACTCACAAACATTGTTCATTAATGGACATATTAAAAAAGTCTACATAGTACATAATTCAGATTCTATGCAACCCCAGAAATTTAACATGATTTACAGAGGCATCTCTAGAGATAGGTTTAATAAATGGATCAGCAACCATTTGGTGCGTAGAAACATATTGGAAACTTACTTCTTTCTTCTATGATATCTCTTACAAAATTATATTTTGTGTCAATGGATTAGCAGCCATTTGGTTTTGTTGTGATACATGGGATCATTTGTATATGCAATAGCTGCTTGACTATTGCAATAAATCAATATAGGTCCCATGTCACCATTAAGGACTCCTAGATGCTAAAAGAATCTCCTTAGCTAAACAGCTTAATATGTTGCTAAAACATATGCTACAAATTCTACTTCCATTATGGACAAGGAAATGCATGTGATGGCACCATTATTAAGCAAGAATGCATATCCGAAGTTAATTTGTGCTCATCTATGTCTCCACCCCAATCGACATCAACCTATCCTTTTAAGAACAAATCTAATGTGAACTATGTTGCAGCATTGACTACGAAATCCATAACGACATTGTTCCAAAAACCCAGAAAAACCTAATTAAAAGTTTAGAGTTTGATCCCCAAATTAATGAGCCAAAAAACCTAGCAAAAACGTTGGTCTTGATTATACAATACAAGACCCACACCCAAATTGTAGAACACCACAAGTATTATGATTCTTGATAAGTTCAAATTGTTCGACGAAGAACAGAAGAAGAAAGCAGTATGCCTTTCATTTTAATTCACTCAATAATAATGTCTTGTAAACTTACAATTGATAGTAAAAACCTATATTTATACTAAGCTCAAAATCCTAGAAATCTAGCAAAAATTTGTGATAATATAAGTCAAAGATTATAAGAATCTTGCTAAAACTAAAAATCTAACAAAATAAGGAAAATTCAGAATATGAAAAATTTTGACCAAATTTTGGTATATGCGGCCGCATAGAGTATTTCTATGAGTTCACTTAGAAGAAATGGTCGGTGCCAAAAAAATTCCCTGCACGCCTTCATACGACCACAAGGCATGAATAACTATGTGGTCGAATAGTTGTTCCCGGCAGCTCCTTCTTCGTCTGCTTGTATTGTATTGATCCATTTCACTTCGACGCTCGACCCGAACACGAAAGATGCTTCGGTTTGTGTCCAAAACATTGTTCCATCAATAGTGGATTGAACTAGCAGCCCATCACTTGTTTCACTAGCTTTGCCCTCGATCGCATCATTTGTCCATCTTTGATTATTAACGGGTCTCGTTCCGCACTCGTCTTTGTCGGGCTCGATTCCTGGATTACATCATCCCCTTTCTCTTCAAAAGGATTTGCAATCGAGTTTGAACCTATATCAAAGAGAGAGAGAGAGAGAGAGTGATCAGATACATTAAAAGTTGCCGAAACATTATACTCACCTAGAAGATCTAGTTTGTAAGTGTTGTCGTTGATCTTCTTGATGACTTGAAATGAACAATCTCATTGCAGTTGAAGCTTCGACTTTCTTTGTTCCAAAAAATGCTACTTCCTCAAATGCACCCAAACCAATCTCCTAGTTTGAATGTCACACATTTTCTGCCTTTGTTTGCTTGTGACGCAACAAGCTTACTTTTGTTTTCGATATGCAACTTTACTTTCTTGTAAAGTGATTTTACCAATTCTATTTTTTTTTACCATCTAAACTACCTCGCTCATTCACAAATAACAAAATTAAATCCAAATTTGTTAGTGGATTAAAATCATAAACAATTTTAAAAGGAGTAAACGAACTAGTAGAATCAGTAGCACGATTATAAGCAAATTCAATTAAAGGTAAACAATCTTCCCAAATTTTCAAATTCTTGTTGATTACCGTACGCAGCAATTGAATCATTGTCCTATTGACTACTTCAGTTTGCCCATCAGTTTGGGTGACAAGTCGTAGAAAATAATAATTTTGTGCCTAACTTACCCCACAAAACTCGCCAAAAGTGACTTAAAAATTTAACGTCCCAATCCAACACAATAGTTTTTGGAACCCCCTGCAAACGCACTACTTCCTTAAAGAACAAGTTAGTTATAAGTGTGGCATCGCCAGTTTTGTGATATGGTATAAAGTGCACCATTTTACTAAACCTATCTACTACCAAAAAAATTGCATCACGGTCTTTTTTAGTCCTAGATAAACCCAAAGC